ATACCGACTCAAATTACAAGTGCTAAACTTGTTATTTTACCAACCTAAAGTCGTAAACTGCCTGCCCAGCTTTAATCTTGTTAGGGTTTGCCATGATATGGGCACTACTATGTGATGTGTTTATTTTTGCAGCTATTGGGTGTCTCAGTGTCTCCCTTTTCAGCTGCTTCTGCTTCTCTGCTGTATTTTTGAAGTAATCAATGTTGCCCTAAACAACTACTACGTACGTACAAGATTTTGAACTTATTCGAATGGGGATATTTAGGCGACAACTCTCTTCCTAGCTAGGTTGCACTTTAGGCTAGCTTAGTTAACACTCCGTATAGAGTAGGGGTGGAGATGGTCCGGGCCCGGTTTTTTCATTGTCTTGGATAAGTCAATTCTCGATTTTCTTATGTTCTAACCAGAATCATCACGATTTTATGAACATGCAACAACGTGTTTTTGTCATTTTTAGTCTTTCGATAATTGTGTGAGTGACATTTTTAATACTCCATTTTGATTTTTTTTTTCATTTTGTAGTCTTTTGACTTTTTGCGAGGCACTATTATATTCCAATTTAAAATTCGTGCAATGAGTCTCTTGAGTATTTGTCAAATTGATAATTTTTGTCCTTTCATTATCAATTTGTCACAATAAGTAGAGTTGGTCTTATGGGGATCAACAAAACCCTTTGATTAGGCTCAACCCGTTGGCACTACGTTATGGTGCAGCGCATTAGTGGGACTCTACACTACCGTAATAACTTGTGGGGGTGCTCAACAAGAATCTACTTTGACTTTGTCACTACAGAGTAACGTGTTAAATAGAATGTGTTCATCTCCTAATCACCAATTGATTTTACGAAAAATATGAATGCTAATTTAACCATAGAACTATGTAGTTAAGTGAGTCCAGGGATGATATCCCAATGATGAGTGACTCACTGTGAAGCTTGTAAAAAGGGCAACCGATCCTACAAGTGATATTAGAGCGAGATCGCATGTGAATCTATCGGATGGTGCCAGGGTGATTGTTGGTCTTATGGGCCGGGGGATCGGCATCACCCTTTGATTCGGGGCCTAACCACCTAACCCTTTGATTAGGCCCGACCTATTGGCACCACGATGTGGTGCAGACTCTCATGTCCATCCACTGCTCGATTGTAGGGCTCTGCATTGTCGTAGTGAACCGTGGGAGTGCCTTAGTGATATGTGGAATATGTTCACCTCCTTATCACAAATTGGTATTAAGAAGGATGAGTGAAAGATAATAATTGAAAGATAAAAAATGTAAATATAGAAAAACATTTTTTTCTCTTTATTTAATGTTTTCTTTGTTTCCTTTATGAAGTGAATGAGTCTTGTTTCAACCTTCCTGTCGTAACAAGAACTAAAAAACATCTTTACACTAAATTAATTATATTAAGCATAATTTGTAAAGATTTTTTAATAGCATACAATGGAATAATTTGCATGAATACATGTATAAAACCTATTTTACAAAGAAAAAGGTGTTAATTAAAAAATGGTGTCCCTAACTCCCAACTCTTATGGGTGCCCTACGGGCCTTGTAAGTGCCTAGATCCCATAGTCGTCGTCATTGTCTTTACGATATTGTTTCGTGTCCTAATTCCCCCGTTCAATCTGATTCTCGTCTAGTTTGAGTTTGAAACAAAAAAAAAAGAACTAGACTAAAATTTAATTATTTTAGAAGAACCAAACCAGACCACATAAGCTAGGACCTAGGGTTCTTAATCTCTTGTGGACAGCCAGCTATAAATATAAAAATAACATAATCCGTATTGCATAATAGAATGGACCCCCAACCAATCCAACCATTAATGTTAGGTTATAGAAAAAATTAGATGAAAATACAAAGTCTAATTTTTGTGTGTACATTCCTTATTTGTTGTGTACACAGGAGAATATAAAAAAAAGTGCACTTTTTATGTACGACAAGAAATGTTCAATGTTATATGCAACTCTCTCTTTGGGCTCTACTAAGCACAAAATGGGAAATTCTAACGGCAACCTATGTTTGAAAAAACGGACCGGAGAGTGACCCGGCCACATGATTGGGTCACGGGTCAACCCGGACCCGGTGGGTCAACCGGGTTAACGCCGGAAAACCGGTCAACTAATATACGTCTATATTATAATAAACATATAATTATTTACAAAATTAAAATAAAAAGTAGTTATTATTCATACTAATCAACTACCAATAGTCCAATACTACTTATTAAGCATTTAATACACTCACAAATTCATAATATGCCAAAGTATAATTTTGATCCTATAAAAATATATAATGATAGTTTTATTTGTCTTGTACATTTATATTATAATTTGACATGATTTTCATTCTTAAATAAATATATAAATATATTACATAGTTTTTCTTTTTAGGGTGTTGAAATTGCAATTTTATTGGTTTAATAAATGCATTAAAATTAAAAAATAAATCACTTTTTTTATGGAAAAACATCCAAAACCGGGTTTTCCCGTTTTATTTCGGGTTTCTTCGGTCCGGGTCCGGACCGGGTTTTCCCGAGTCAGCCGGATTTTTCCGATTTTTGACCATTTCCGGGTTTTGAACAAACCGAACCGGGTTTTTGTCCGGGTCGCCGGGTTCCGGGCCGACCCGACCGGGTCAGTTTTTTAAACACAGATGGCAACCCGGCTTTTACTATAAAAAGTCATTATTTTCCGTAATAAGTTGTATTATTTTTAATTCCTATTATACCCTTGGTGGCTGTCTCAAAGAGAAATGCAAAGTACTTTCAGAAAGATGAGGTAAAATAGGGGTGGGTCAAAGAAACCGAAAATCGAATCGAAAAAATCTGAACCGCAAGAAAACCGAAATTGAACTCTAAAAACCGAATCGTAGTTGTTTGGTTTCGGTTTCGGTTTTCACATCTTAAAACCGAACCGAATAAGCCGAACTTTTCAAAAGTTCTTATTTTATTTATTAATCATTAAGTATAATATTTTGTTTAGTTACTAATTCTTAATTCTAGAAATTTTAAGGTTTGATACTAGATTTATTATGATTTGCACGATATTGACATTTAAGTCTATTGCTATAATACTAGTATGTTGATACTTTAAATCGCAATTTACATTTTGCTTCTTGTTGCATGACAATGATACTTTGTTGATATATTATATGTTATGTTTGTTTATTATCACATAATTTTTCATATTGAACAAATATGTATTAATATAAACTATACTTTAAACAACATAGCAGAAAATGTGAAACTTTAAAGCATAAATATATTTCTCTAAAAGAAAGTAGATAAAGTTATTTACTAATAAAATGTTAACTTGCGAATACACCGTATATAATTCAAAATAAACTGTCGTATTTAATTAATTTAGAAAATGTTTAAATTGGTATACACATACTCTCTAATTCATTGCTTGGAAGTTGGAAGTGCTTTTGTTTCTTCTCTCCTTTTTAATTATGTATCAAATGTATGTTTATGTATTGTATTACTATTAATAATAGTTTGATGTAGTTTATTTTTTTGTTTTTGTAATCCAATTACTATTTTTCTAATCAACGAAAATACTTTGGTAGAAACTGAAAAAACCGAAACCGGATTGAAATAAACCGAATCAAACAAACCGTGGTTCCAATTTTTTGAACATAAAACCGAACTGAACTGAACTTTTTACTTTGATTCGGCATTTGATTTTAGGTGAAAACCAAACCATTTGAACCGAATCCACCCCTAAGGCTGATTGCAATGGAACGAGTGAAAACCCCAAATGTGAGGTTTTCACCCCAAAATGGCTGCAACCGGGAGAATATTTCGTATAGGGAGGAGTTAGCGGGGAGTCTGGAGAAACTTGGGGGGCGACCTGCATGTGGCCGGGCAATTGACTCCGTCCCGAAGAAAAGGAGTGGACTGCATTTGTGCGTGGGTGTGTTGCGGATGAAAAAGCCAAAAAGGCTGCTGGGTGGGTGTGTGTGTATGAAAAAGTGTGGTGGGCTGGTTTTTTGGCTTCATTTTGCAGCTCGGTTTAACAAAAAAATTATTGTTCGGTATTTTAATTTTACAACATGTGTTTCAATTGATTTAAATTTAATATTAAACAAGTTCATAGTATATAAAATGAAAAATTAATAATATAGAAATATACAAAACATTAAATAGTTTTAATTTATTTCAAATTGAACCCAAGTACGCATTTTTAATACATACGAAAAAAAATTAATTCAAATTTTTTATTTTTTTTACATCGGAATGTTTGAGTTTTTAAACAATAATTATTGATCAAAATAAAATTAACAAATAAATGATGTGTAATAAAATAACTAAGGATTTATGCATTTAATTAAAAAAATGTGCTGAGTGGATATATTGACGGTGCTGAGTTGTAGAGGAAAACTAAATTGACTGAATGAATACGTATAAATTGGAGGGGAATTAGATTTATTGACAGAATTGCGGTTAGCCTAAGGTAAAGAATACTTCATCCGGATCCTACGGAGGACAATGGAGGGTGGTGGTCTAGGAGACTAGGAACCTAACGGAGGTCTAAGGATGTTTTCTTTTGGACTGAAATTTGCTGGTCTGGTCTGTTTAAGTCTGGTCTGGTCTGTTTGAGTCTGGTCTGGTCTGATCTGATCTGAACTGGTCTGGTAAACGTCTGGTCTCTGTGTATTTTATAACTATGGAAGTCTGGTCTGGTCTGTTTAAGTCTGGTCTGGTCTGGTCTGGGACTGAAAACAGTCCAAAAGGAAACATCCAAAAACCGCAGGTATTACTTCATCTAGTAGATAGATGGGGAGAAACTTCTCTTTCTCGTGATTTTGCCCAAATTTTTAAATTTACATATTAAAAAAATTAAAATTTAATTTTTTTTAAGTTTACATTTTTTTTGTAACTGGGAGGCTTATATTGATAATAAAACATTCAGCACGGGACAAACATGACAAAGTAAGCACTTCTTACCACCAACCCTCGAACCAGTTGGAGAATCAATCACCTTAAAAAAAGCAATGTGATTCGCTGATCCTATCATGGGTCTACATGAGCCAAACGTGGCAAGAGTAACAACCTCATCACCCCCACCAAGTGTAACAGTCTGGAACAACAAAACAACAGTAATTGAAAGAAAAACAAACTGAGAGCAGAAAGTAAAATCTAAAATAAATAACACGTGTAAATTATAAAATGTCTTGCAGCAAAGGAACGAGCACCAGCACCCACTCCCGGTTGGAGCCTTCTTCAAAAGGTCTGGCGGGCTTCTGAACCCGCCTCCTCTCCGTTTTTTGGATCCAGAACCATGGTCTCCCCCTCGGCCCCTGCTCCACCTGTCTCTTCCCAAGTCCGCCTACGCTTTGGCTCTCCATTCTTGTCCGCCATGGCTGCTTCTTCTGCTTCCTCCCCTCCACTCTTTTTGTTGCTGCTTGAGGGATTATTCCAACCTTTCTTACCCGTGCCCGAGCTGCCTTCCTCTACTCCGATTACCCTGGTGTCCTTCCTAGGTTCGTCTGAGATGATCCACTTGTTTCCTCCCTCTAGCCGTGCTTTCCCCCCTCCCCTAGCTCGCAGGCCGACCCCATACGGTCTAGTAGTGTCCGTGCTCTTCTTTTCATAGGCTAGGGGGCAGTACCTGTCAGAATGTCCTATAATACCACAAGAAAAGCAAAAACTAGGCAACTTCTCGTACTTAAAGTCAACCCAGTGTCCTTCGCCCTGACCCTTCCTGAGTGTGGTTCCAATCTTAAGGGGTTGACCCACATCCAAACAAGCCCTAACTCTCATATACAGCTTCCACTTTTTATCAAACTGAGGTTTTTCCCAATTGACAAATTTCCCAACAAAATTTCCAATTCTCCTAGCCACCCCCAAGTTCATAAAGTCATAAGGAATATCATGAACCTGAATCCAGAATTCGGCCTCATTCAGAGGAACCAGGAGCGGAACATCCCCAGGCTGCAGTGCCCGAAGGACTAGCAAATTCTGTTCAAAAATCCACGGTCCATCTTCAAGTACATGTTTCATATCTATGGGGTGATAAAACGTAAACATGTACCTTTTTCGTCAATTTCTTTAATGGTGATCCCCTTACCCGGCATCCACAGTGAGGCCGAGTCGTCTACTACCATCTTGTTGGTGATCACAGTCCCTACTACCGGATACACATCCTTATTGACCGAGTCGTCTTCTTCTTCAAACGTTTCCTCCTCAAACACCAGTTCTTCTTCCTGATTCCCAATAGCCATATCCTTGTATTTATCCGCGATTTCCTCCATCTGCCTTGGTCAAAGTCTCGGCCACCTGCAAAGAGAACAAAAGCTGAAGAGCAAATTGTATCCCCCCAAAGCAAAGTAGTAGTACGAATCAAAACCCAGGCAGGAATCTGCCTTAGCAATCACAAATCCGAAGCACGACTCCCCCTCTACGATCGAGGAGGAAAAATCGGCGCAAGCAAAAACCCTAAGCACCTAGGGAGACGTCCACTTAACCTTAAGTTTACATATTAAAAATTGCATTTCTTGTATTGCAAGATTTCAATTGAAATACAAAAATCCTACATATAAAATTAAAGATCAAAATCAAATTGTATGGACGGGTGAAGAGTAAATTGTTGCTTTCATATACGGAGTACTTCGTATGTTGTAAAAATCAGACCGAGAAGTACCCCGAGAAGTACTCCTACCAGATTAATGGGTCACGGGTCAACCCGAACCCGGTGAGTCAACCCGATCAAAGAGTGAAAACCCCAATCAATACCAATAGTCCAAAACGTACACAAAAAAATTATATTCCTTCATAATTTAACAATGATAATACAATATAATAAAATTTAAAAAAAAAAAACTATTGTATTAAAATACATTTGTATTAACAAATTTCAAAATACAATGAGGCTTATGTGGACAATGAACATAACACAAATTACAAAAAATTAAACAAATATATTGGTAAAATGATATACATAATTGGAAAGTATATTAATAGACTTAAACATATCAGACCAGACTAGACTTCGATAAATAAAAAATACACATATTGCATACATTAACTAGATCAGAAGTCAGAACATACCAGTTTGGCAGTTCAGACATACCAAACTAGACCATACTTAAATAGACCGAACCGGATCAAATCATACCAGACCAAATCAGATTAGAAACTTTCAATCCAATTAAAAACATCCTAAGTAATCTAGATTAAGAAGGAGCTGGTGTGGCGAAGTTCATGAGGTCGAATGCAAGGCAACATACGCGAGTTCAATTCCTGCAACTCTGCAAGCGACATCCTCTCCGATTTTTTGGTATTTCGCGGGTGTGGACTGGACTGGTTCTAGTCTGAGTTTACGCGGGTGTTGGTTATTTCCGGGATTAATCAAAGTAATGATTTAATAGTTAACCAGACCGGAAAATTGGCCAGTGCGTGGTCGGGTTACGGGTCAAATCACCCGGTTTGATCTGGTTCTTACAACATGGGCTTTCATCAACCTAACATACATAGATACTAAGTAATTATGGAATGTATAACATTAAAAATATCTATTAAAATGGTAATAACAGAAAAGCTCAAATGAAACATCAAAATCATTCTACTATTCAAATTTATGGGAAAATGGTTGCTAAATATGTACCCATGTATATTCAATTATTATATTCCATTATCAAGAATCAGGCAAATATCACTTATTCACTTTGGCATCATCAGTGAAACGAACAATCATGTTTAATATCCATAAGTAGTAGACTTTTTCTTGTTAACTCAACATACATGTTTAGTTCAAATTCCTACCGGGAGTCATTGTTGCCACCCCCAACTGCCCATTAAACCTCGTCAGCTGCCATCACCAACATGCGGTTCCCTGGCCGCCGTCTGATAATAGAAAAGATGAAGAATTCTTAAGGAGTGTTTGAGATTGATTAAAAAAACGCTTTTTAGCTTTTGGCTTAAAAAAAGACGAAAAGAGTGTTTTCAAATGACAGCTTCTGCTTAAATTAATCACTTAAAAGCTAAAAGCTGGAAGCAGGTAGAAGGGTGCTTTAAACTGCTTCTCACTTTTTCTATTACACAAAAAGTACTTATTTTACCAACACTACCAACTTTTACTTTTTCAGAATCACTTTTTTCTCTAAACACTACCAACTTTTACTATTAATCAATTTTCCCAAAATCACTTTAAAAAATCACTTTTTTAAAGTTGAAGCAATTGCAAACACTCCCTTATTTACTCATCCCTTTGTATTTTATCAACTTTATCCATCAATTTCTTTGAGGGAAAGTACTAAAGAAGTCCTCAACTAACACAATAGTGTAAAACATCCCCTAAATTTAAAAAACCTCTCAACCAAATCTTTGAAATCAGCAATAAAGTGCAAATCACCCGTTAAATTATTATTAAAAAAAAGCAATCAAATTCTCCAAGTCAACGATGTAGCACAAATGGTTTTCCTAAGTTGTAATTTACCGGTTAAAGCTAATGTATGACATTTATTAAAAAAGTTATGCCACATATTAAGATTTACTGGCACATCTAGTTATATCTAAGAAATTATTTTTTCAATCCAACAACAACGATGTCACAATATTATTGATTAAAAAAATAAATTGGAGTCAGCTAACATAATCGACATATTATATGAGAAACATTGGGATTAAATATGAATGAAATTATAGCCTCTAAACAAATTTTAACTATTTTTTACAAAAAAATTAATATAATGCCAAATTAAGAGGGCTAAATAAAAGGGCTTAGAGATCGAGAATACAAGGTTTTAGGTACAAAAATATTTTTTAAATATTATGATGAGGCATTACTAAAGCAGATCCGAATCAGTTTTAAACTGCCCAACAAACACTGCATGGCAAAATATGAATATGTTTTCCTTCCTCACATTGCCTGATATGGCAGAAAATCATGCATTTTAGATCAACTCTTCTTCAGCTAGATGCCTAGATAACAAACCATTTAATTACAAAACAAATAGAAAGAGAGAGAAATGAGAGTAAGAGAGAAAAGGGGAATACGTTAGAGTCGGTCCATCAAGCGAAAATGGAAGTGTGGAGCGGGGTTTATGGCAAGAAATTAGAGAGAAAAATATGGCATTTATGTAGGTTGCTTTAGATTTCACATTTAAAACTCGAATTTTGAAATATAAATTAGTTTCTCACGATATCTTCGCAATATTTTACTCCATAATTATGATCTTTACAAATATTACTGATCTGATTGCTCTAACAACTAAGCGTGAGAAAACCCGGCGGCCCTCATATTCTTGTTCTCATAAAATCAATGGATGTTTAGTTTTTCTCTTTCTTAAATTTAATAATAATTAGGGAAAACAGTCAAATAGGTCCTCGAACTTTCATAAAAAGATCAATTAAGTCCTTCTATAGGAGGTTCTGTCTGGCCGTCGCGATTTGGGGCAGTTCTCGATGGAATTTTTTGATGAAATTTTTTGAGCATCTTATTCAGCAAGTCTAGTTTACTCATATCAAATTTTAGCTAAAAATTCAATCAGGAACACATTCAAATTAATTCTTGAAGATAACTGCGCATTTTTGCGTTCTCGAATTAATTTGAATGCGCTCCCGATTGAAATTTTAGCTGAAATTTGGTATGAGTAAACTAGACTTGATAAATAAGATGCTCAAAAAATTTCATCAAAAAATTCCACCGGGAACCGCCCCAAATCGCGACGACCAGACAGAGTCTCCTATAAAAGGACTTAATTGACTTTTTTATGAAAGTTCGAGGACCTATTTGACAGTTTTCCCTAATAATTATATATATGAGGATATAAATGTGTACCATAAAGTTGTAATCTCTGCTAAATTACGGGGAGGTTTTTATTTTTTCCCATTTAAGTTGCCCATCTTGACTCCATAACCTGCGAAATATTATGTGATCTCTCTAGAGATGACATATTAGGATTTACCTTTTTATTTTTATTATTCATATTATATTATTATTACTATGCAAAGTTTGCCTATTGCTTATTGTCTATTTAAGGCAGTTTCTTAACATTGCCTATTGTGTAAGTCTCAATTTTGACACACGTGCCCACACACACAAACACACATATATCATCCAAACATTGTAATAAAAAATAAAATAAAATAAATAATTGAAAGTCAACAAATGAGATAATGAAGACCCACAAAAATTAAATAATAAATCAAGCTATTTCCTACCCATGCACCTTACTAAACAAGTTACGTTCCATACAGAATATTTTGTAACAATATATAAATCTGTTTATAGTTAACGATAACAAAAGTAATAAAATAATTGATTATAGTTGTCCATTATACAAAGCATCAAATTTTCTTGAGTTAGCGTGAAGTAAAGTCTCAAAGTCATGAAAAAGCTTGAAGCTTGCAGTAGAAATGAAAAGTTGTATGAAGATCACAAAGTTGGCAAAGGTCTCTATAGAAGTTAACGCAGAAGAAGCGAGTGATTGCATTTACATAATTTTAAAATCAGTGTGGGCTTTGGGCTAAATTTTAGAAGTCGGCCCACCTCTAGTACTAAACCAAGTCCAGGCTATGGCGGACGCTTCAGAACTAGGCGCCTACGCATTTTGCGTACGCCTTGTGCGTGTAACTATCATAATTGCTTATTTTGGGATACGCCATCTTTAATTTGCAACTCTCAGATTTTCTGGATTTTCTCTTAAATTCGCAATATTTTTTGAATCTGTAGAAATTAATGGCGATGTTGGGATGTTTTACGTCTATAAATAGTTCTCTGTTGGGTGTTTCACTCGAATTCTTGAAGTTGTGTTGAGATTTTAATGGCAATGGTTCAAGAAGAACCTGCCCAGAAGTGTAGCAATAGTAGTAGTGGTGATGGTGGGGGAGGTGTTTGTAGTGGTAGATCTTTGAAAAAGCTTAAACAGAAAAAAGTGCCCCAAAGAGGATTAGGGGTTGCTCAGCTAGAGAAGATTAGATTAGAGGAACAGCACAGAAGGGAGAACAATGCTTTCCAAGCAGCTAGTAATAGTGTTTTCTCACCTAGCATCTTGCTGCCTAATATCTCCTCAAGGTCTCACCTTTCTCCTCCATCAATCCATTCCCCTCCTGATCTCCCCTCATGTCTCCCAAAGTTTGATCATGAGGGTGGTGAGAGGGGTAGATCGGGCTTGATGATCCCGGGCCACAGTCAGTGGCCCAAACTGTGGGATGGTGAATACAATCTCGAAGGAGGAGAGAGTCGAAGGCTGGATCAACTTGGGTATCCATTATGGCCGAACATAAACATGCCTATTGAACCGCATTCTTCAGTTTTGCCACTCCCAACTGCATTGCAGAGATCACAGCAATATCAGCAGCCTGCTTCTTCATCAATGGTTAGCAAACTAAATACCCATATATTATTATTAACTAGTTTCTGGACGCGTGTTGGGTGATAAGTAAATGCCCATTATAAATGGTTAATTTTGGTTTACTTCGTTGGTTGGTATAACTATGATCTAAGAATTTGCACACAAAGTTGTTAAGTAGGACATTAGAATAGGTTAAGGTGCATGCTACTCTATGAAATCTGTCAAATTGTATTCTATGGGTGTTGTTAGGATTTATTTTTTAGAGGATAAAATCTGGATTTATCAAGTGAATTGGAATATTGGATATATACACCCAGTCTTAAAGGAGTAAAAAATGGCCTACATTCGCCAAAACATAAAATCAGTTGTTCTCCTCAGATTTTTTTAATGAGAGTTACTCTGTCTGCCATGAAGAGAAAATGACCCTCCTGTTTTAGAATCTTAGAACTAATCGATTCAATTAGATCTTTAAACTCAGCAGCTTTTCAAATTCTTTATCTAGAAAAGTTCTCAAGCAAGTTAGAGGAATATCTATTCACAAAGTTCATTAAGATTTCTTTTAATGAGAAAAGGTCAATCCAAAATTAGATGTCTGGCCTGTGGTTTTTATTTTTTAAAATGTGATTAAAATGTGCTAGTACATCCGAAAGCACATGAAGACTATAACGAAGTAAATTTCTTTTAATATTTTAAAGAGTAATACGGTTTATTAGTGCTATGATAACTTTATTAGTATAACTAAATAGCGTGGGGCCATGGAACCATTGATAAAGCAACACTATGAGATGAATACATGATAATTTGTTTTTAAGTCTTATTAGCACTACATATTTTTACATTACTATGAATTGCATTTTTTTACCCCTTTCAGGTATATCTGGTAAAAAAGCGCATGAATGCGTAGTTATGACATTTGTGGCACATTATTAGTAACCTTTGGACTTCATATTATCAAAATCTTATTAGAAAGAGTAAGTCTAATATAGTTGAAGTTGTTGTAATGCACTTTTATCATGTGTTCACCTCTAGACCTGTGGATAACATAAAAGGGCATAAATGAAAATATAGCCACAAACACATACGTAGTATTGGCCACCCTCAAACTAAGTAGGGCTGCATTGTTAATTCATACTACGTATTATCTATTGAAAAGTAAGAAAAAATGATTTCAAAATAAAAAACAGTACATTGTATGAAACATGACTTGCTGTTATGATTTCAATTATCTTTTAAAAGAGATATTTAGAAAAAACAACGGTAAGAAGATGGAATATGACTGCCCTGTCCAAATGACACCTTATGATTAACAAAAGACGCGCTTAACATTTTTTGCCAAAACAAAAGTATATCTTCCAAAAGGAATATTATTTGGAAGGAAAGTCATAAGAAAAAATGGGCATGTTAAGGGGGTTAGGAAATAACAGGTAAACAAAGTTGGAGAAATAAAATGCATATCCAATGTGAAAATGGACAAATTTCAGTCCACCTAAAATGATAATTAACTCAATTTGAGACTAAAATATACATGATACACAGGAATATAATTTTTAGCATTTGGATAAAAGAAAAAACAAGAACTTTCTCTGCAAACCGCATTTGTATAACTGTATTTTTGTTGAAACGATTACATCCAGTGTATTGATTATTAAATTTGTACCCACTGGAGTGGCTTGATAGCAATCTGTTTGCAAACTTTACTGTTTTATTATAAAGATGGGCATAAACACATATGAGCCACCCTCAAACAAGAGTTCATACATACAGAAACTTTACTTATGCCCTATATACTACAGTAGGCACTACTACCGCTCTGTTTCGATCAAAACATAAAATGAATGGTTATGTCATTATTCTTTTACAGTTGTCAAATTACCCAGTCAATTATAAATGAAGAGTCAACCATAAACCACACCAGACAATTGGTTAAAATATTCCTATAATATTAGTGATATTAGTGATACTTTTGTTAAAAACAATACCACTAATGATACTTTTGATAGAAATATCGCACTATGTATCATAATATTTAAGTGTCACTAAAATGTATTGAGCTGGAATGAGTTGAACACGAGGGCAAGTGGGCAACACACTCCTCTTGTAACTTGTCACACTTTGGGATACTACTGGCCTGATTAGACCAAAATATAATATGATTGCGTATGCCATTACTCTTACAGTTGTTGAATTTTCCACCAGTGAAAGTATACCTAAACTATAGTCTATTACTAATACTTTCGTTAAAAACTGTACCACCAGTGATACTTTTGATAGAAATATTGCCCTTTGTACCATAGTATTTAAATGTTTCACTTAAATATATTGAGTTCGAATGATGTGGGGTATTTTGGTGGAGTAATTTTTTCTTTACTTTTTACATTTTTAATCAACCATGTTGTTTTAATGTTGTTTTCACACTTTTACCGGTGTGTTTAAATACATGACTGGTCTTAAGCATTAGCTTGTTTGAGAATCCTTACAATCCAACTTTAGTTTTCTCATAGTGTGCGGTCAAGGATAGATTAGTGGCAGATTATTACTACATGTCCATATACAATACACTTTGCCTTCAAATTGAAATGCTTCTCAAAATTTTCAACCAGGGAAGTGGTTTTCGAAGTGCATGCGGGAAGTTAGTTAGGAGCTGCATGTTTGTGTGTCTACTATACTCCAAATGCTAAATTGCTAATTATAGTGACATTTAGAAAATTATTATTAACCTTTATTAAACTGGAACATTATTAAAGAGGAGTAGTAGTTTACAAATTGAAAAGGATAATAAAAAAAAGGTAGCCCTCAGACAAGAGCTTATGCCTACAAATGTCCTGAACATGAAGTTCAGAGATAAAGGAGAGGTAAATTATAAGTAATCTTCATGTAATACATGATTATATATTAAATGTAACAATTAGTAACCGTTGTACTACATTTTATCAAAGTCCTATTTAAGTAATGTGTGCCCTAAATACTCCTGTGGGGTAACATAGGTGGGCATAAATGAAAAATAGGCGTAAACACATTTTAGCCATCCTAGAAAAAGAGCTTTATAACTAGTCCTACAGAAACTTGACATATGTACTAAATACTACTATCGGCACTACTACAGCTCTTATTTGGAACATTCTTAAAGTGGAGCAGTAGCTTATAGAGTAAAAAGGCTTAATAAAGATGGGCATTCCTCCAACAAGGGCTTATGAAGTAACTTATGCCCTAAATACTAATGTGGGATAACACGGATAGGCATAAATGGAAAATAAGTGTAAACACAGGTTAGCCTCCCTCAAACAAGAGCTCGAGCCTACAAAAACTTGACTTATGCCCTAAATACTATTTCGGTCACTACTATAGGTCTAAATTGACCAAAACATAATGTAAATGGTGATGTCATCACTCTTTTAGAGTTCTTATTCATGGACAAAGTGGACTATTGCAAATGTTCACTTCACAAAAATGAGAGGAAAAAATTATACATAATATTAATATATACACTATCTTAGTATCTTATATATATGTTCTTCATATCATATGTGTTTATATAATAAACGTAATCCTGTGACATGTACAAGGGTTATACTGGCGTATTCCCAGTGTCAACAATGCACTTTGCATACATTCAAGCGTAACTCGAAATATAAAGCCGGCTTGTGATTTCACATGAACAAAATGTAAAATAGGCATATTCTTATGCTGCAAGAGTACAAGCAGAGAGTAATGAAATAGAATACGGAAACACAAAAAAAGAAACTGAAACGCAGTAGCGACAGGGGCTAGGGAAGGAGATATGACAGTTCACTGTGAAGTCGAGATTCGAGAAAACGGAAAGAGAACTTACCTGTTAGCGCCACAAGAAGGAAACGAAGGGAGCCGCTTGGTGAGGTTAGCGTGCAGAAAGGAGCAGCTGGGTGTAGTAGGGTTAGGAGTGCTGAGAAATGGAGAGAAATGGAAGGTGTGTTCAAAGTGACAAATTGACGATGAGAGATGGAAATCAAATGGGAAGATAAGTTCTTTTTTAATAGAGTACAGCTGGTAGAGCACATTGTACAACTGACTAAGCAAGATGATTACACTAACATTTTCCCCTTCCCTTCAATATCCTAACCTTCATTGGCTATTATAAGATTGTAAGATAATATTAAGATCAATATTAATATAGTAATAGTTATTATTATTCTTTTATATCCTGTGACTGATTTGTGAATGTTGCAGGTGAACATCTTGTCTGGGATTTCATCATCAACGTCATCTTTAAAGAATTTTCAGACAGAGCCCCCTTCAAACCAAATTTACCGTGATAACGATTACATGCCACTGTGGCCTGAGGAAGTGAAGGTATTTCCATTGCTTTTGTTTTGATCTTTTTTTGTAATACAATAAAATGCATTTTACATGTTCAGCAGATTCAAATCTAATGAGAGTCTGACACTACTCTGATTTAGTAAAGAGTGCACATTTCTTCACTTTCTTTGGATAGTTGTGTCTGTAAAGTGTAAACATTTTTGTTCTTTAGTGTAATCATCAATTATTCTTTTAGGGAAAAAAAGACAAGTTTTTTTTAATTATTCTTCAGTTATTACAATAATGACTGAATTCACGTGATTCTTTTTTCTCATTTTGTACCTGATATATGCTGAAACTCTTTTTCTGATGGTATTTTCTATTGATTACTGATGTGATGTAGATGGTTGGTGTCAAAAGGCCATATCCTTTCTCTCCAGAATACCCGCCAGTTCCATCATTTAATTGCAAATTTCCTCCTGGTTATGCTTCTTCCACATCGAGGGCAAATAATGAACCAACATCCTGTGGCAACGGTAGCGTAGCTAATGTATTAGAATCACACAATCTTCCTATCAGGTATGTTATCGAATCTTGGGTTCTTAAAAATAATATGTTAGTTCTTGAATGTATTGAAAGTTTCTTCTTCTTTTTCTTTGCTCAGGGAAGGCACTTCAAGCTCACAGTTTGAGTCCAACTCAAGAAGTCTTAACAGAGAAAATGGAGGTCTTGATGGAGATTTCCTCTCATTGGCCCCTCCGGCCGATGCAGCTTCTTCATCACAAATAGATCATAGATACCACCATTCATCCAGAAATCAACTCCCCCTAAATCCTGAAGCATCAAATCAGGTGACCTATAGTAATAATTGTTACATTTTTCCATTTGTTTTTGTTTTTAATATTTAACTCGTATTACCAGTACAATATGTGGAGATGAGAGATGACTCCCTAGTCTCATCCATGCAAGAGACTTATACATGCAATTAGTCCCTGAGGCCATTGGCATTGTCTTAGTTTTCAGTTTGTGCAATTAACTGATTTGTAGCTTAGGGATGGATACAGTCATAGTTGTTTTCCTAATATAGCATTACTTCTTTGGAAACATGATTTCCATCTGGGTTGTTTTCCTAATATAGCATTACTTCTTTGGGTACATGATTTCCATCTGGGTTGTTTTCCTAATATAGCATTACTTCTTCGGGCACATGATTTCCATTTGGGTTATTTATTAAAAAATACACGACCTTTGCTGCCTTCTGTGGTTTAATCACGTCTTTTAGATTTTTTCAATCTGTTATGCATGCTTCTTAAGTTTTGCACTTTCATATGCAATGTTGATGATCTACTTGATTTTGCTTACATTATGACTGGAGAACTTGCCTTTTGCCATGTAGATTGCCAAGTTGTATGCATGCCTGTATTCATGTCTTGTGTGTTTATCTGCTTTTGCGTAGTGTAATATGGGACCACAAAGTCAGTTCCATCCTTTTTCAAGAACTTCATAGCACTATAAGCGTGGCAAAGAATAAGCGTGTATTTGGTCAGCTATCAACCTTGTGTTAGTTTTGTATAATTTGCAAATTTCGTAAGTGGTCTATACGATTCATAAAATTAAAAGAAAATCATAAAATCAGAGTCCGCTGAAGGTCTTGTATTTTTATATGACAACAAATAACCCATTTCTATTTTGATTTTTGTTGTCTTTTTTTTTTTGACTAATTCCACTCTCAAATTAATATAGAGAGGTGGTGAAGAGAAAATGAAACGGCCAGGAATGAATGGATGGGGTCAACCACACATCTTTAGCTTCTTCCCGCCAACTAAGGTGCAAAGTGATCTTGAAGAAAGCTCTAAAAGAAGTGACAAGAGTGAGTCTAATGGAGTTGTAGATCTGAACCTGAAATTATAGATAGCAGCAGCTTGTCAACCTCCTTTGATGATTTTCCCATGTTACTACATTTAGTGTTTCCATATATGGTTTCTACAATTCTACTCATTCATTTGCACCGGTGGATGAATGCTTGATTCTTTCTATCTTGTCCTTGATATGAAATAGTTTCCACGCGGGTAGAGAGAAATATATGCACTTGAGTTGGAACATGAAACCAACACCAACTTCTCGGCTGTGTTAGCATTGTTTGGTATCCTGTAGGGCTTATAGTAACTCATTTTGTTTTGGATTGGGTTTGAGCTCTAATGATTATCAAGTTGGTGGAGGAAATAAGTTATAGGTTCCTCCCCCAACTGATGAAAATTTTGACAATAAAGCCCAAAACTTTTTTAAAGTAGATTAAAATCTTAAAATTTTGATTAAATTTTACATATTTGAATTAATTTTAAAAAAAATCTAAAACACCGGATTCCTCACTATCTATTGTTTTATATAGTAAACACGAATTGAGAAATGCTACGTGTGACTAGGCGTATGGGTGGACTCGGGCCGGGGTGGCCCGACCCGGAACCGGCCCGGCCCATCGTTGGCCCGGTCCGGTCAGGGACCGGTCCGGGTAGGCCCGACCCGAGGTGGTTTCGGTCCGGGCTCGGGCCCCTCAAAACGTGAACCGGCCCGGCCGGTTCGGGCCCGGTCCGGGTAGGGATGGACTCGGGCCGGGCGGCCCGGCCCAGAACCGGCCCTGCCCGGTTACTGTTTGAACCGGCCCGGCCCGGGAACCGGTCCGGGGGGCGGTTCGGGTCGGCCCGGACCGGTTACTGTGCGGTTCGGGCCCTAGGATTGGCGAACCGGCCCGGCCGGTTCGGTCCCGGTTCGGGCCAAATTAATTTTTTATTTTTTTTGAATTTTTTTTAAGTTTTTGGGTTGGGCTAGGTATTTTGGGCCATTTGAGGTGGTTTGGGGTGGTTTGGGGGCGAGGGGGGGAGGGTTGGGGGTTAATTAGGAAAAGCCAAAAAAAAAAAAATAGAACAGAGGCCCGGCCCGGACCCGGGATTACCCGGGCTGGTTCCGGGCCTCCCATTCCTGAACCGAGGCCCGGCCGGGCCCAGGCCCAAACCGGGCCCGAACCGGAACCGGTCCACCCATAGGTCCGGGCCATTTTAATTTTTTTTTTTGAATTATTTTTTTTAAGTTTTTGGATTGGGCTGGGTATTTTGGGCCATTTGAGGTGGTTTGGGTGTGTGGGGGGGGGGGTTGGGGGTTAATTAGGAAAAGACAAAAAAAAAATACCCGAGGCCCGGCCCACCCCGGCCCGGACCCGGCGGTTACACGGGCTGATTCCGGGCCCTCCAATCTAGGACCGGAGGCCTGACCGGGCCTAGGCCCGGGCCGGGCCCGAACCGATTCCATCAATAACTAGGCTTGGACTCGGCCGGGCGGCCCGCCCCGGAACCGGCCTGAACCGGTCACTGTTTGAATCGGCCCGGCCAAGGACCGGTCCGGGTAGGCCGGACCCGCTGGGATTCCGGTCTGGGCTTGGGGCCCTCAAAAGGTGAACCGGCCTGGCCTGTTCGGGCCTTTTTTTTTTTTAGTTTTTTGGTTGGGCTGGGTATTTTGGGCCATTTGAGGTGGTTTGGGGGTGAGGGGGGAGGGTTGGGGGTTAATTAGGAAAAGCTAAAAAAAATTAATTAAATCGAGACCCGACCCGGACCCGGGGTTTACCCGGGCCGGTTCCGGGCCTTCCCTTTCATGAACCGAGGCCCGGCCGGGCCCGGGCCCGAACCGGCCTGAGTCCAGGCCTACGTGTGACTCTCTTATTGATTTGGCATAATAAGTATTAACATTACTTTAATTTTACAATCATTGTCTAACTCATCACATGATGCAAATGCTCATATAATATAAAAAATAATTCATACTCTTACATTACTGTTGAGGTTTATTCCTTCAACCCTTGGACCCAACACGTAAGCCCAAAGATTTCGAGTGGAGTGAGTGTATGGATATCTAGCCCAACAACCTTCAGATGGATCAGGAAACAAGAGGAATAGCAGGCAATGTAAATAGGTATTATTAACTTCGTAATAACTCCCCTAAATACAATCTACTTGCTAAAAAGGGCACGTCGGCCGTTCGTCTTACAAGGCAGTAGAAATGCTGCGAGTAAGAATACAATAGCTAGATGCTAAGAATAGAAAGTTGCCAACCCTTTACAATGAAATAAATGCTTCTATTTATACCCACCAATGGGCAGGTGGCTGCGCTGACGTGGCAGCCTGTGGACCGCTGGTGCCCCAACTACCAAATCTTCAGCATTAAATGCACTTCCCGCCAGAATCTAGGCTTCCCGCCTAATCAGTGGGGACGTTCGTCCACCCGGGAAGTGAGCTGGATCCCCCCAAGTGACCCTCAGGAGATACCGGCTGTTCGTCTCCTGGCCTTGATAGATACTCACCATGTGGATTGGGCCTCCTCCGATGACCATAGGCTTGTCATGGGGACGTTCGTCGTCATCCCTGGTGGCCCGCGACCCTGCTCCTTATCCTTACATTGACGTTCGTCGGGAGGACCCGCTGGGCCTAAACCCCCAACCCCAGACGTTCGTCCATCCCCAGGGAACATGGGCCTGTGGGCCGGCCTAGTGTTCTAACTGGACGTCCATCTGGCAAAATGGGTTAGTGGGCCGGACCTCGGCTTGGGCCCTTATCCCAACACAAGTCCCCCACTTCTGATGTTCTGAGCATGCGCAGGACATAAGGAAGTATAAACCCCCTCGACGTGGACGTTCGTGTCTTGATACTCGTGTTTATTGCATCCGGTGGAAGCGTACGCTCGTGGTCATGGTGCCTAACAGCTGTCGACGGTTCAGGAAACGAGGTGACGGCTGCTGTGGCGGCGGAGCATTTCCCGAGGAAATGTCATCATTACGCTTTCGCCCCACACACAGCGCGTGAGCCGGAAAACGCTCCTTGCCACGTGTCAGCCCCTCGTTGGTTTCCCCATCGGTGTTTCTCCTTTAAATGCCGGGTTTTCCCTCTGAATTAGGGTTCCCAATTTCTGCTCTCTTGCTTTCGACTTTCCGCAGCTCTTCAAGTCTTCTTCCCCGCTTCCGAATTCGGCTAACCCCCTTGTAAGGTAATTTCCCCCCCTCTGCTTCTTTTCTTTGTTCTGATTCCTAGCCGAAATGACTTCGATGGAGATTTCGTCAAGTTCTGATTCCGGTTCGTCGGGTTCTCCTCGGGCTCCTCTTCGGACAACGTGAGTGCGCGCTCCCCCGGAAAGGCCAGTATTTCCGGGACCTCTGATTCGGCCACGACGGTAGGGACCATCCGGGCTGATGGTGAGCCGGATGATGCTTCTCAAAGTAGTGGGAGCGACGCAGGGGATGGGAATGCTGACGGGGCAGTAGATGTTATTGACGCAGTCCCCCTGAACGAGCGTCCCGCTGATTACGATTCTGGAGAGGAGGCCGAATCCGGTTCCGATATGGAGGTGTATGATCTGGGCATCCCTACGGATATGGAGCGCCACATCTGCCCGATCAGGAGCGCCCTTGACCACGACCAAGTCCTCTCCCGCGTGGCCCTCAACAAAATCCGTACTTTCTTCCCCCCGCCGTTCGTCTGGAGCGTGAGAGGCGCTGAGCATGTGATGAGGAGACGTCCGGGGATGATCATGCTCCACTTGGATTCCGTCGAAGCCGGGCTGCGGTTCCCGCTCCATCCGTTCTATGTGGAATTCTTCCACTGCTTCCAGGTGGCCCCGGCGCAGTTCATGCCAAATTCTTATAGGTTCATATCTGCCTTTCTGGTGCGCTGCAAACTAGCGGGAGCCACTGCCACTCTGGAGCTTTTCCACTACTTCTACCGCATCACTCCCCAGAACTCCGACGGTTATCTGAGCGTGGCCGCACGTCCAGGAAGGAAGCTGTTCAAGAACTACCCTTCGTCTATCCACGACTGGAAGAACCGCTTCTTCTTCCTTATATACGATGGGCCTCCCCTCCCGGTTCGGTGGAATGGTTATCCCCCAAAGATTGAGTCACCGGAGCCAACCGACGATCTACTTTGGGATGTGGAGAAGGTGTTGGAGGGCGGCGTCTGCCCTATAGCCGGATACCTGACCTTCGAGGCACTCTCCGGGGCAGGCATAGGTACCGCCCGTGCTCCTGGACTTTTTCCACCCTTCGACGCTCGTCTCGGGGCACCGGGCGGTCCTGTCCGAGGTGAGTGTCTTGTTATATTCTCCGCTCGTCTTTTAACCCTTTACTGTTCCTTGCAGGTTCTCCACCAGATCGAGCCCAGATGAATCACGCTGAGTGTCTAAAAACCAGGAAGGCTAAGGCGGCTGCGGCTAAAGCCGCGATGGCGAAAGCCAAGAATGCCCCCGCCTCTGATTCCAACTCCTCGGCTTCTGATGCTGCCCGGCGAACTGCTGAGGGTGAGCAGCATTTAATCGCCACCATGCTGGCTCAGGGTTCTGGGGCCCCTGCTCTTGAAGCCACCCTTCCACCGCCGGCCGTCCCTTCGAAGGCGGCTCCTCAGAGGGGGACGGAGAAGGTCCCCGAGAAGAAGCAGAAGAGGGGCCGCGAGGCAGTCTCCACTGGGCCTCTGCTCGAAGATGCCGGCTCCCTGCCCTTGAGCCGTCCGGCGGAAGACCTTTGGAGGGAGATGGCCCTCAAGGCCGGCCTTGAGTTGCCCTGCCGTTCGTCGTCTGAGGCGACCAGTGCTGCCTTGGCAGCCGCTCTTCAGGTATCCCTTCTTTACTAAATCCGAGTACATCCTTCCCTTGACGTTCATCTTCTAACCGTCTTTCCTCCTTTCATCCAGTCTGGGCTTCTGGTCCTTCAAGCTGAGGCTGCCCGGGAGGCCGACCTGAGAGAGGTCAAGGCCAAGGCCGATGCGGCTGTCGCCACAGCCCGGGAGGCCGCTCGTCGAGCTGAGGCGGAGGCTGCAGCCAAGGGGAGGGAGATTGCAGCTCTGCAGGCTGAATCCCGCAGCCAGTTGGCCGGTCTTGAGAGAGCCGGTTTCAAGCTTGTCCCGGTGCTCCCTGCCGCCAAGGATGCCACTCCGGAGTGGTTGGTCGACACCTCCGGCTATAGGAACACCGGGGAATTCATGGATTCCGCCAAGGATTATTGCGCCGGGGCCATCGGTGATGTATTCTCTGCGGCGCTGGCGAAGATCCCGCCCCGGCAGCGTCTGGCGTGCGGGGTCCGGATTTTGGAGAGCTCCCCCTTGTCTCACAAGTTCCTATATGAGG